GCGTATAACTCAACTACATAGTCAATAAAAAAAATTGTTTTCTAAGTCAAGTATATGGTTTAACTACCACCATGCTAGTAGATAAAAGTCTGCCAGGGAAGATGTGGTCGAGAAATATTCTTTACTCGCGAGCAACCAGCCGTAATTGACTGAGTTTCTTTCGTTTTTTCGTTTTCTACAGATTGTACATATATAAAGCACTGTGAGAAAAAAATCGGAAATCGGTTCATAATTAAAGACTGCAGGTGGGTTTAAACATTTTTTTTCCGATTGGCCCCACTGTGCGTCAGTGAGACAAGTGATTGTATGAAATTGCAATCATTAGGTATCCCTTAGCATTCTACAAGATAATTTTTATGTTGTATGTGTAAGTATTAAATTGATAATTTTTTAGTTTTAATCCTTTCACAACTTTATGTTAACTGAGAATTTTTTTTAACTTTGACCTGAAGCTATGTTCAAAACAACAGTTACTAGGCACTGTGCCCTTTGATGATCTGGCTCCCTGCACAAATAACATAAGCCATCGTTTTAATCCAATTCCAATCCACTTTTTTTTTCTGAGATTCTGTTTTTTGTAGTTCAGGATTTGATTTATTTCCTGAAGCAATCACTATTGCCTGAACAGAATCTCCAGTCTTTGTTTTCCTTTGTTGGCTTTTATTTTTAGAGCCACTTTACTAATTTTCTTGAGCTACAGCCACTTTTTCCGATTTTACTTGTGGTCTAGAACACGCTGCAGTCATAATTCTAAGCTTCTTGACTGGTGATCAAAAAACATACCTTGCATCTAACTCTAACTCTACTTCTGACAAAGCTACTATCAAAGCCACGTACTACGGTGTCGTCATCAATAATTTTTTCAAGAAATTCGATAAAGGCCTAGTTCTTTTACTTAATATGTTCCTAATTGACTATTTTAATTCAAACTTATATAATACATTGATATTGAGAGTCTCTTCGTTGAAATGCGATTTTGATCTTTCTCCTTAGCCTAAATTGGTCTTTTGTAACGAATCTTCATTTAAGTTTGACACTGTTGCCAAATTGTTATTAGCAGCCTTCAGAGTAAATTTGAAGCTAACAACAGAACTTGCACTAGTACTGACAGATAATCATCTTATTTGGTTTCTTCATTCTTTACTTTTAATTGTCACTTTTCTTTTGATGATGTTACATTCCTTTTCTGAGATATTGTTACTTTTATCCCTATCGTTATCCTCGAAAATATTAACTGGTTTTATATTTGCTACCAAAAAGATGTTACTACCTGAAGCTTTAAGACGGAGTTCTAAAACAAGTGTTTCCGTAGCTTGTTTAAATATCATCAGGTCCGAAAATTTTTGATTTATTTTTTGTGCTTTTTTACTTTTTTGATATCTCGCCTACTTCTCTCAGTTTCTCATTGGCTGCTGCTCATCTAAGCTAATTTTCGATTACAAATTGATTTCAGAAAGCCATGGTATAAGAAATTTTTTTATTCGGAGAGTGATCAAGAAGAATCGGGAAAATTGCTTTGCAGGTCATGAAAACTGCGTATCAGAGTTACTCTTACTTTTTCTAAAGCATCAACTATATCAACTACATCAACTATATAGATCTTTTGTCCACTTGCTTGATTTCTTGCAACAACGGTCGAATTTTCGTTTAATTAGTGAGAATTCGCACATCATCGCAATATTTGTTTAAAACTTTTTTTTTAAATAATCTTACAAAAAAAACTTAATCACCTTAACCGTAGGAGACCATACCAGCCACTTTATGAGTTTACATAATGTATTGTGTGCATTATACTTAATTTTACCTCAATTTTTTTCTCAAAAGCACTAACACGTGCTATTTCTGTTGGGCAGCTACCCAATGACCCCCAGCCACCCAAAACCCTGCAGCTCTCTTTCTGGCCAACAAAACTCTCACAAAAAAAACGGATGAATTGCGAGCCACAAAAAAAACCGAAAATTCTAATGATATGCAGAGTTTCTCTATTGCTTTAGCTACAGAAAATCCAAAGCCATACAAAAAGAGAAAGTCTACCGCTTGAGGCCAGCTACTTCTGTTTGCTCCATACCATGGAAAACCCCTGCCAGCAACCTTTGATAAATCGCCTACCGTTAATCAACGATTTTTGATTAGATTATTACGCACTAGCTCCCTCTTATTTTTTATTTGATTCGATCTTAACCCTTATCAACATATTTATTTAAGGTTCCTCATCATCCTTGTACTATCTGGTTGTGTGGTATCACACCTGAAAACATTGAGTGGCAGGCTCAATACGTATATCTATATATACAAATCTGATTATTTACCTGCTGAGGTTAGCCTGCAGTTTCAAACTTTCAACACGTCATTTACTTCTTTTTCGCCCGGCAACCTCGGACTTGAGTGATTTAAAAAAAAAAAAAATTGGTTGAACAACCTGCTCCTAGCTTTTGTAGCATGTGGCTTGGCTTTTAGTCTAAAAAAATTAAAACTTTTTGGAAATAATTAAAATGCCTCATAAGACTAATGCTAAAATTTCGAATTTTAAACGTATTTTTTTTTTATTTTGATCGGCAACATGCTCTGAAATTCGAACTGTACATCCTTTAAGTGCTACTTTGCCATGGATTTACCAAAAAAGTGATGAGCCTCTTTAACCAGCAAATCGTATCGGCGCCTCTACCGAGCCTGATCCCTACGTTTAAGACAATTCCATTTTCTTGAGAGTGAAGTTTCTACCACGAGTTACCTACCCGCCAACAACTATAGAGTCGCGCCAGCACTGCTCCACGAGTGTACACAAATGACGTAAACCTAAGAGGTATTACCCAAGTGCCCCGAGCACTAACTAAAGCAATACAACTAAAGCTTACTGATTTTCGACAGACAGTTGCCTGCAGGTCTGCTCAACACTTTTACTCCCTGTTTAACAGTAAAAATTGAACAGCTGTAAAAAATGAAGACAGCTTGAAAAAAAACCATCCAGTAAGAATTCCCACAAAAAATAATAAACAGATGCTAAATTTTTGGTCATCGTAATATCTTTGATCATTTTTGTAGCCAGCTTTTATTTTACTGGATATGTCTCAAGAATCTTGTTCTCACCAAACATTCCCTGGCTCGATTCAATTTTTTAATTTTTTTTTTCTTATTTCTAGTCTTATAGGCGCGTTATGTATGACAGTAAATCAATGATTTCAAAATTTTTCCTTCTAAAAAATATGTAACAGAAGTGACTTTTCAATGAAAAAAAGAAAAAAAAAAGTCGATATTGTATTATGATATTGACTCAACTCATTTGTTTGTGTATACATTATTTATAAACATTTGTAAATTATTAATATATCAAAACAATTTTTTTTCTTAGCTTTAAAAAAATGTTTTTTAGGAGAAGTTTTTTCATGCATAAGCAAATATTTATTTTATTTTTAACAATTTTCTAATTTTTAAATGAATAACTATTTATTTATTTTGCTAATTTTTTTCGAAAATTTTTAAACAAAGTTCTACATTATTTTAATTCTATTTTTATTATTAGTTAATTCGAGTTTGATTATATGAAAAAATTACTGGATTTTCATTGCCTCTTCGTTTTTTAGAACTTGTTTACCCTTGAGTAAGGTGACTTTTTTAGTTAAACTACATTCTCTAACATGCAACATCGCCTCAATGAAGATGAAGTAGTGGTTTTTTCTAAGCCTTTTCTTCGATGTGGGTTATGGGTATTATCAACTTAACTGAGAATGAGTGTGTGACAGATGTAAAAGGTGCTAGCGCAATTTTAAAGATGTTATCAGCGTAGAAAGTAGTTTCGAAATAATCGGAAGATTAGATGAAAGTAGGGAGTCTTGTACTTGCCAGCCTGGTGCCATGGCGAACCAGGGCTTACTTTGTACTTTTCTCATTTTTATAATATGTCTTATATATTTATTTGTTCATTGAATTTTAAAATATGTACTCAAAACGACACTCAGTTTCTGAATATCCTCATTCTAACGACAATTGCACTACCTTTGATACTTTGTAGTAGGTTTTTGAAATATACTTTTTAATACAAATCATGTGCTTGAGTTCTGAAAATTTAGTTTTGTCACTGTTGTAGAGAAATTAGTGTCAAAAATTGCTGATGATTTTCATGAAAACAGAAATTTTTATGTTTTGAATACTAAGTACCTTTTTTGTTAATAAAAAATATCAAAGTATTTTGTGTGTTTAAATACTAAATTAAGATTTAGTCTCGTTCCAGGTATTCACAATTTTTTGAGAGTATGCTTTCTACTTCTTTTGTATTAAGTTGGCTATGCTGAAAAACTAAAGTTAAATTATTTAAATTTTTCTAATCATGGGTAATAATCATGATTAATTAACTTTAAAAAAAAAACAAGCTTTTATACTTACTATAGCATCAGTTGATCAATAATCTGTTGCATGAAAGGAATGTGTGAAGAAACTTTTTGAAAGTAATGGTTACATAGAAGCTTACCAGTCATAATCAAGGTTCAATTTACAGACAAGTTAACAAGTAGCTGATAACATATTGGTCTCACTTATTGGAAATTTATGTGCAGCAGAATTAGAAGCTTTAAGCGATTTTTTAAAGCCTTTTCAACTAGCCAATCACAAATAGATATTGATGCATTGTTTAAGTAGATGACAAAATTACAGTTATGCAAAGTATTTTTTGAATGGCTTGACTGATTGAAAGACTTAAATAACATGGTGACTTAATATTTTGTGACAAAACCATTGTAATAGGAAGCTAAAAATATTAATTATTGCACATAATATTTTTAACAGAAATTTGACATGCTGTTAGCCGTACATACACGATTACATGCAAATTTTAACTGGCACATACACATAGTAACTCAAATACTAATTAACTAAACGTATTTCTTAATTTTGTATTACATTTTGTAAAACGACTTTACTTTAATCTTATCTATTCTAAACTTCTTTCTTAGTATTTTTTTTTGAAAAAAAAATCTACATAGATTTACGTAGTATTTTTTTTACAGATAAAGGATGCATAGCGCTATGTGTTGAAAACATGAAACGTGTACCTGAACTAGCACCATTAGAAGTCGTAAAAATGTTCGTGACTGTATTTTGTTTTCTAAAAGATTCTAGTGAAGTGTCGCAAACACTTTTAGACGATTTCCGTTCTTGTCAGGGATACTTATTTTTATCGGAGTTTCTACTAAAGTAAGATCTTACTGCAAATAATGTTTATATAAAAATTAATTGTATATTTTTGTATTTTTTGCAATTGCTGTTTTTATGTAGACACGCTTCATCCCAGTTGGAACAAGATAAAACTGAGACCCAAGATGCTATAAGAAATTTAGTATTGACGTTAGCATCATTGACTATGTGTGGTCACACAGAGCTAAAATCAAGCACGGCGAGTATGGGGTCATTATTTAAAATGCTTAACTTTGTACTACCTCAACCAAGCAATCAAGGTTTGTTGTTATATTTTTAATATTAAAAAAGAGAAATATTGTAAAAAAAATTATTTACGTGATCTTACAATAAACTTTATTTAGGAGGAAGTGTCCGTAACATACACAGTTTCCAAGTATTGCAATCAGTTTTTATTAAGTCCAATTCTTCTCTTCTCTGCTGTACTATTCTGGATGCTATATTAAGTATTTACCGTAGTGACAATGCTAACTATTTTATTCTTGAAGGACAAAATACTTTGCCTCAGTTTGCAGAAAAAGTACATCTTAAAAATTCGGAAACTCAAAAAAGACTGTTTGAGCTTTTGGAATTTACTGTTTTTGAGTTGAATTTTGTGCCTTGCAAGGAATTAATTTCAATGTCTATATTATTGAAATCAAATCACTCTATCACTTGTAGCATTATGTGTATGGAAACATTAAATAAAATTCTTCGGTAAGTAAGAAACATAAATAGATTTATGTCATCCTTTCTAGTTTCAACCAATACAAAGTTTTAGTATAAAGTGCTCATTACTTTTTAGGTATAATGCAATATTCAAAGACGTATATAGAGAGGTTGGTTTGTTAGAAATTTTTGTTGCTTGCCTTAACAGATATGCAACACTTTTGGAAGATAAGCAGGCTGCACTAGATCAAAATCAAGGTATTAATTGAAATACAACTTAACTTGTACTTTCCAATTTTTTTTATTATAAATAAGCTTTTGAAAACTTATCTTCTGTCTCTATCAAGACTATCAAGTGAGTACAGATCAAGAACAATTAGGAGGCTTAATGATCGGAGCGTTGACCATTTTATTAGAAGGAAATATTCAAAATGCTCATGTATTTAGACAGTGTGGTGGAGCTCATTGTGCTAACAATCTCGTCCCATACATTGACTGCAGATTCCAAGCTTTAGAAATGGTCAGAGAACTAATTCTTAGTGTAGGTGGAGATGATGATATGGCTGCGCTTTTAGGACTTATACATTCTGCGCCTTCAAATGCATTTGCTCTTAAAATGCATATCTTAAAAGTAAGTAATTTTTTCAATATGACTCAAAAAATCACCACGATATAAAATGTCAGTGTTAGTTTCATTTCATTTTCCTTGGAATTTTCAGTCTTTAATCGTGTGTCTTCGGGAATCGCATCGTGCCAGAATTGTTTTTCGAAAAGTTGGTGGCTTTGTTTCTGTTATGTCTGTTCTCGTATCCCTAGAAGGCCAACTAAATGATCAAACTGGACATAATTCTGTACATTGCAATGATATGATCAAAAAATCTCAAGATGATGAGGCACGGCTGTTATTAGTACACATAGTTTTTTATACCATAAGTACAGCAATGCGATTTGAACCGGCCAACGCCAAATTTTTTCACCAGGAGGTAAATTATATAACATAAATAAAATAATTACATGTTACAGCAATTAAGTTACTTTTAGAAAGACTCGAACTAAATGTGTAACTAGAACTAAGTGAAAAATCAATAATTATTTATTTAGAAAAAGTTGAAAAAAGATTGCAAGAGTAAAAAAGAAAAATTTTCTCTGGGTGCAAATCGAACACACAATCTTCTGTTAACTGGACTGGAAATCTAGGGAAGACTGCGATGCTGATTTCAGGAACAAATAAATGATTAACTACTCATTCCAAAAGTAGGTGGTAAAGCTCATGTAGAAAAATTGATTTGCCCTTGACTTCTCTTTTTTTTCGGGTGAGCTTCAGTATCCCAGCCATTAGATTTAGCAGTCTGTCCTTTATCTGTCGATGGACATTGCTAAAAGTTATTCGTTAAGTGAGTAAACCTCGTATTCTTTCAACCGTGGTCTCCAACTGTCCGTGGATTAAAGTATGTTACAACATATTCACGTGATTGCAGCTTTAGTGTATGTAGTACATGACAATAAAATTCAGTAAAGTGCAATTGTGTATGTATCATTATTTACTTTTGCACTGAATCCAATATTATTAGTTTTGAAGGATAATACTGTATTTTCAAAGTTTGAATTGCAGTTTGTTCATTTTTGATAAGTTTTTCTTGTAGTTTTAATTTACGTATTGCAACTTAATATGGTGCCAGCAATAAGTTTTTCAGTTAAAGTTACAAGTGTCGTGATTTACAAATGTAAAGGTTTCTCAACTCAACTTTCAATGGGTTTAATTTCATGGGTAACAAAAAAAATATTTTACTTACGGGAAGCTAAGTATCGCCTCAAAATCATATAACTGTATCAAAAAATACACAAAACAAGACCATACCATAAAAAATTACCTTGCTTACGGGGAAGTGAAGGAGTCCAGAAGAGAGTTGGGGGTGGGAGCAGAGGATGTGGAGATTGATTAATCCATCTTGTATTGGGTAAAGTTTCTTGGGTAAGACAAAGAAAAATTACCTTATTTGAAGAAGGATTGGTGGCGAAAGGAGGCAGGAAGCTCGTATGTATGATGTCGGAATATATACATCTAATTTCAAACTACGGATCAAAAGCTTAACCAAGAATAAGATTCATGCTAACTTTTGGTGTACATGGATGCACAGCCTCCCAGTAGCATAATAGAGAGCAACTGTCTCGTAAAGAAGAGGTTGTGTGTTCGATCTACATGCAGGGACGACTTTTTTTATCCTCAGAAACATCCCCAAATTTTTTATTACAAATAGTTATTGATTATTTATTTTTAATCTTGTAATAGACCTTACCAAAAAAGACTTAGATTAGCTGAGCTTGCTTAGTTAAAAAAAACTACATGGTACCTCTATTTATATGTGCCTATTAGTATGACAATAAGTATGTTTCAAATGTTTATTTATATACTCTGTCAAAATCACATTGAATTACTATATTATTAATAGGTAGGCAAATGATTTTCTAGTGTACCTTATAATTTGCATTTACTATTAAGGCTTGTTTTTAATGATATGCACAATACTTGAGTGTATTTATAGTAGTCCTGAATAAAAATTAGAACTTGATAAAATCGTGGTTTCATAGACCTGTTGATTTTGTCTGCGTATTATGAGCTTGTTAGTCAGAATAGATTTAGAAAATCTTACAATTAAAATCAAGTTTTTCTTATTATGTGTTAAGCATCGGGATTGTGTATGAAAGTTCAACTTTCTAGATAAAATATTCGAATCTGACTATACAATTGAGGTTTTCAGTATTCTAATCGCATGTCGAAATAACTTTCTCTTTTTTAACATTCCAATCTTAAAATCGATTAATTCACTATTAACTTAGCTCTAAGAATTACAGCAGAAAAAATCTGAGTAAATCAGTAAACTTATCTAAACAGTAAAAAATTTATACTAGAGACTTAACACGCAACTCTGTCTCCAATCTATACTATTTGTTCAAGGTTATTACAATAAAAGGTTTTTAAAATTAACCTGAAATTCACTGCACGTTTCTGATCCTTGTTTGAGACCTAACATACGCATTCTTTTGTTATTCTAGGAAAATCCAAATAAAATGTCACTTAGCATTCTACACTGTTCGTTCTTGCCCTCCTGAACTATTTTGCATACGCCAACGGTATATAAATGTATATCATACGCAAAAGCCTAATCCCGTGACACTAGCGTCTTTGGCTGAGATCATTAGCACAGCTACACTTATGAGTCCTGTCAACATTCTAGGATGACACGTGTTGACATCTTTTTCTTTTCTTTTCTTATTCCTTCAATTCGCTGTGTATTCTGGACTAACCCAGAAGTCAAACGTACGCAGTCAAGAGCTTTATCATACAAAATATTACATACCAGCAGGTGTTATTTTCTGACTCACTTCTGAATTGATTGCTGATTCCAAATGCGTATATTATAAGTAGTAGAGGGTGCTTCAAACTGAAAATTTGTATTCTTGGAGTCTTAGATAAGATATAAACTTGTGACACAAAAATAGCCCATCTTTCAAGGTGCCTAAGGTATGTAAAAGCATATTGCATGAACAAGCTCTATTCTGTGGTGCTGGTGTCAGTGGCTGATTTCGTTAACATAGCCACATTGAAATGTCCTGCCAACAATAATCTATAACGAAAGGTGTTTAAATCTCTTTTTTTTATATTTTAGAACTCTATTTTTGCCTTTCCGTACACTAGATTGCTGATTCCGAATTTTAAAATTTTTTACGTAGATTAGATACAGACTCTGATAATTTTTTTTCCATTCTTGTCTGTAATCGTTTTATTCTATTAGTGAGAGGTCGTATTCTCAGTAATCTTCCTTTACGTTTGAAATAAAATACGACGATATTAGTGTCTTATTACACTGTAACTCATTTAAATTTTAGATGCTCATTTCCCGTTTGAAAACCTAACTTATGATTTTTTTTATTGATTTGAAGTATTGCTTTACATAACTTACAAGAAAAGTAACATTGGAGCTCCATCATGTCGTTTCTTATTGACAAATTTGTTGTAAAAGTCCGATTTTTTTTCAGTTTTCACTGAATACTAAAACAACTGCAAGTCGTATTGAAAAATGATGAATACAAAAGTTTGAACCTATTTAGTTATCTACAATTGATAAAAAACAGTAATGTTATAACAAATAGTTAGGTTGCAAATCGCAAAAAAAAGGAATTTCGGTGTTATTTAATAACAGCTGTTGCAATGGAAATAGAGAAACCAAAATTTATTAAATTGTAGTATAAGTTATGCGGAAACAGTAGTCCAAATATAAGAACAATTCACTGGATATGTAATAAAATGCAATTAAATTCTTATAACATTTTCATGACCAATTGTATATGAGTAACTTTTACTGTATAACCTTGGGGGTTCATATATTTCAATACTTATTCGGAAAAAAAGCGATTGTTTTACGACAATTCACTTTTTTTCACTGAGAACTTTTTTCGGCTTAATCAATGATTAAATAACTCAATATATTAGTAAAAGTAATGGTTTCCATTTCGTTGTGTTGCTAAAATTTTTCAGTAAATTATTACACAGACATAAAATTATAGCATAGCATAGCGTAAGAGTTATACCTATAAAAGAATTTTCCATTGACGGTGTGCAACTTACCATTCGATTGCTACAATGAAATGAAGTATTTAGTTATCTTGTACCACCTGTGAATTTGCCCAAAGTTGTAAGGTGGAGGAGAGTGGACTTGTTCAGCGTACATTTTATGCTTATCTGTTTACATCCAAGATAGTGTAAAATTTTTTAATAACTTGGCTTCTGTAGGGCACAGCTTATTAGTTTTTTTTTATCTAGGATATCTCGTCGATTCCAAGCGATGATAATAAGTATTTGTGCCTGGAGGCTTCCTATAATTTTATTGCTCGTCTTTTTCTTAGATTTATACATTGTGAAATAATCTCGTGATAACTATAACTAATTGCTTATGGATTTTTAGCATCCTATTAAACTTGCAACAACCGTTATTAAATATAAACGAAAGTTTCGTTTTTTTTTGCATTTGCAACTTTACTATTAGTCTTAATACAACTTTACTTTTTTTTTTGTAGTTAATTATAAAAACTGTAACTTTAAATTCAACATTTCTTAGCATGATTGTATAGTTTTCTTAATGTTAAGTGAAAACTGTAAAAAACTGCAAAAAAAATCGGATTTTCACGGCTAAATTTTTTGTACTAACTGGTGCGGTAGAACGTTACTCAAATCAGTGTTCTGAAGCGATTTAAAAAAGCCGGTAGTTAGGTACCTGGGGGTGAGATTCTAACAATTCTACTATTGTAAATTATAATCTTGTATTAAAAAGACATTTTGTTGCCAATAAATATTTTTTTGGTTTTAAAAAACGTCATGAAACAGTGTAACTAGAGATTAGTAGAAAGATCGCTGACAATTTAATTACATCGGTTAAAGAAGGGGTGTCACTAAGAATTCCATTGTAAAATGAGTTTCCCGCTTTTTGCAGGAAAAAGAGAAATTCTTTGACACACAAGATGTTTTAGGTTACAGTCATCTTCTGTCCGCTTCGAGGGAAATTTAAAAAAATTGAAATTTACGGTGTAAGAAGTCTTGTTACGCTTAGAAATAAATAGAAAAATTGCTGAGTGCAATGCTACGAAGTGTGCTCACTTTTTAGAACAAAGTTCTTTATGTCGCATTACTTGGGGGGCTGGAATTTTACAACCGACAGATTTTTTTTTTTTTGAAACGAAAGTGGTTTACCCGGAGTCTCTTCTTCTCAAGTTTCCCCCCTTACCCCGTACCCCTCACCTACTGTTCTCTATACACTTCCCCTCTCCCCACTATATATGTATACCGCCAACCGTGCCGTGTTACTCTTCTGCACACCTTTACCCACCATTCCCCCTCACACTCCCAAGCAATTAATTTTTAAACAAATTTCAATTTTATTTTCCCACAATAATTTTTATTTCACTTTGAGTTTTTTTCTTTTACAAT